CAGACACGCGGCAACGCTCACCACCAGCACACACACACACAATGGCAGATGCAAGTATCAGCGAGAGCAGCAGCGCATTTCCAACTTGGAAATATAACCACTATTTTCAATTTGTGGGGATAAAGGACGCAAAAAATATTACGGTAAAATGTAAACTGTGTGCAGGACAGAAAGCATTGTCCACATCGAAAAACAGCAATGCCAATCTCCTGAAGCACCTAAGTAATGTACATGTGGGGAGTTGTCTTTTCTCTTACTGTGACACAGAACAACACAAAAACTTGTATTTTTATTGTTATTATTTTTTAAAGTAAAGTAACTTGTTACTAGTTACTTTTATAATTTAGTAACTAACAAAGTAACTAGTAATTTACCCTGAAATGTTACCCCGCGTTAACCAATCATCACTCTTCTCTGGTCACTTTCACTTTTCCATGGTACTGTGAGAGGACATCACTGTATTCACCTGTAAGTTACATCCACAGGGAGATTCGGTTCAATTGGAACACATAATGTAACGCAGTAACGCACCCATTTAAATCACAGTAACTATAACGGCGTTACTGAATGGGAATAGGTAACTAGTAACGTTATTAGTTACCGCAAAAGGTAGTTGCGTTACTGTAACGCGTTGGTTTGTAATGCGTTAGTCCCAACACTGGTTGTGTCCAATCAGTGTTCAATGGTTTCTTAAGGTGCGTTGAGTCAGAAAGCACACAATTGTGTCCCTCAAGTTGAAAAATGAGTAAATGGTCATTTTGAGTGAAAGCGCGTCACCACTAATGTTCCTCTCTGATTCTTTCAGACCACAGAATAACAGTTGTCTGGCCTTTGTTGCAAATATAAAACAAAAAAACATGGGGAAGTAATGGACTATGCGCTCAAAAAGTGGAGCGAGGTTAAACACTTTTTTTGTGGGGTGGACCTGCTGCTTTTAAGAAAAAAATTCCGAGTGCTCTGCATCAGCACCCCAGCTGTGTGCCAACAAATCATTGCGATAAAAAAAATTGAGGAGGCGGCTTTTTTTCTTACATTGTCAGTCTGAACAAAGCCTTGTAGATGTGCTGGTGCTAGAAATTAAATCATTGCAGTTCATTTTGTGCTAATGTCCTCAAATGCTTTCCTTTAGGCACAAGGCTTTCTGAAGTCAATCTGAATATTTCTTATTTTAAAACCATCTCTCCCTTTAGAATCTATTAAAATCAAGGTCCTCATTCAGGGTTTTTCAAGGCCTGATGACAATTACCATCAGCTCCAATGTTTTCTAGTCCAGTGGCTCCCAAACTGTTAAACTGTACACCACAGCACCCATTAAAGGAAGGTTTTGTCATGGGACCCTGAGCCTCAAAAATCAAATTATAATATACATATATTGTATATCATAACATTAATAAATTATTCTTATATTAAAGCCAGATCATGATTTATCAATATTAAATAAAATAGTAGAGATTAATTCTCCTAAACTCAAAATAAAAGCTAACTGGTGATCTGGATATTTATGGATTCAAAATAAGCAATGCCTTCTTATTTTTTATAGAGTTGAAACTAATATAATGCAAATGTTTGCCTTTTTTATGAGATAAAAGGTTATTAAAAATGCATATGCAATGGTATGATTAATCTTGCAGCACCGTTAGCTCATCCTCAAGGCGCCCACTCTGAGCTTTGCTGGACCTTCAGAAGCGCAAACAAGCCTCTCCTCAGAGCGTTAAATTATTCAGCTGCTCACTAGAAAAAAAGATGGAATGTAAGATCAGTGCAGTCGTTTTCAGCTCTCCTTCAGAGGAGCTCCTGGGCCTGCATCTGTCAGCTCTCAGCGGAGTGGGTTATGCTAGGACACAGAGGGTCCGGGTGAAAGTGGCCTTGTTATACTGAAGAATGGCCCTTTGAGGTAGAGCAGTAATTGCAACACCGGGGTCAGGACCACAAATCAATCCCCACATGGAGGGAGAGAAGTGTCAATTGTAGAGTCCATTCACTTTCTGTTATGGGAGCAAATCTCAACAAACTAAAGGGCTTCTAGATTCCACCTGATGATAACCTTTTGATAACCTATATTCAATTCATGATTGTAGAGTACTTAATGTCTTGAGCTCTGAGGTCACAAAAACATTTTCTCTTACTGCCTGTGCTGCAGCACCTCTTTTCAACATTTGTGTTTGAAGAGCCAGCGTGATCCAAAAACCCCCCAAAAACCCATGAAGCAGTCCTCACATGACAAGCTTTATAAGAAACAAAGGCTTTTGGCCTTCAGCTGAGGCTTTAATAAGGGCATGAACACAAAGGACATTTTGGTTTTGAACAAATTGGACTAAGTGATAACATTCAGTTACAACTGATTTAAATAACATTTTAACATATTTAAAGATATTTTCCAATACTCCTCTCTGTCTGTTGTAAACTAAACTGTAAATCATGTGATTTCTCTTTTCAGGGGGGCTTTCCGTCAGGATTGGACTCTGTCAGAGGGACCCGCCACCACGGGCTGGTGGAGAGGGTCCACCGGGACCGCAACCGCATCAACTCCCCCCATCGCAGACCCGTCGACAAGCACGGACGGCAGATATCCTTCCAAGCTTAATCACTGACAGTGGGAGATGTGGGTGTTATGGCTTCCGGGTTGTTGGTCTTTATTGTTGTTTTTCTTTTTTAATGGCGGTTTGTGTTTGTATCAAGCGTGACGCCATTCACCAGTGTAGGCAGCAGTACAGTAGCCTCAGGAACAGACTTAGTCACAATGCTGGTTTGAAATGTGACGCAGAGACAGCGCGCTTTACTTACGCCTAATGGACACTGACAGTGGGAGATTCTCAGGTTGTGTATGTATGTGCATTTAGCAGCAGATGTGATTTTTAGGCAGCCGCACGAGTGTGTCATTGTTGTAATGGGGACAACACACAGGGTGATGAAAATAGGCGGGAGTGTTGGTACTTTAGCTCTCAGCAACACTCTTTAAAATACCCAGAGTTGGAGTGAGTAAAAACAGAGCCATCTGTTTTCTTATGCCTCTTTTAATTACCAGTTTCACTTCCAAATGTGTCTTGTGGTTGGAACTGCTGTTGATTTTAGCACTTAAAGAGCAACTTGCAGGTTTTTTACTACATTTATGCTTAACCTTGCCTGAAAATTACAATTAAAAAAAGTTAATGCAGGATTTGATATGTTTTACGAGACATAAGGGCAGGAATTCAGAGGGAAAGGAGCCGTTTTGAGCTCTGCTTCTAAAAAAAAAAGACCTAAAAGCTTTTTTTTTAACGTCATACGTCAAACGCGTCATATTACGTCACATGGGGGAGCAACTTTCTCGTACTCGTTCTCTGCTCAATCCGCGGTAGTAGTTTGTATTTTTTCTGTAATTTTACATTGCATTTCACAATTTTTTTGATCATGGTGAGCTTGTGTTTGTGCAGGTTGCACAAACTCCAGCCTGTCAGGACATCGAGTCCACAGTTTCCCTAACAGGAAAAGGACCGGAGCTAGCGTTCGTTCCTGGGCGCGTTGTGCATCCACCTCCCTGCAGCACATAGGCCCCGTCTCAGGTCGGTTAAATTAAATCCTTGCTTCCCTCACTTGCGTCGTTTCCCTGTGTTTAGTCCCTCCCT